TCATCACCTTCATAATATTCATCACCATCCTCGTCATCACATCACAACGCGTCACCACCATCAGCAACAATAACAACCTCAAACTCATCACCATGTTTTCCCCCCCTCATCATCACCATCATCGTCATCACCATTATCATCAGAATCATCATCATCATCACCGTCATCATCATCATCATCATCATCATCATCATCATCATCATCATCACCATCCTGATCCTACTCCTCCTGTTCCTTCTACTCCTCCTCCGTCTCCTCCTCCTCCTTTCGTGCTGTTGGGACCCGCATAATGCTGGTCGCGGAGTTCCCGTGGCTGGCAAGAATCTGAAGGTATCCCAGGTGGGGGAGGGGGGGCAGGAGGGTGGCCAAACAGTTCGAATGCGCCCATATACAGATAGCCGGCGAAGGGAGTTGGAGCCCAAGATTTGGGAGCCAAAATATCCAATGTGGCCCGTCGTTGGCGTTAGCGTTTGTTTGTCTGCCGCTTCACTGCCTCACAGCAGTGCCGACGGTAGTGTGCTACAGTTGATTGCTTCACCAGTTTGCCTACGCACCTTAGACATGCACAGTTGCGTTATTGTGTTCTCGCTCTTTCGTTTTATTCCCCACATCAAAAGTGGGGTTCTTGTTTTCTCTGCACACGCCGCACAGGATCTCACCCCCCCCTTTCCTCTCTCTCTCTCTCTCTCTCTCTCTCACACTCACCATCATCACCATCATCATCACCATCAACCACCATCATCGGCATCACACGCACACACTCATCAGCATTACCATCATCACCACCATCAACCACCATCACCGTCATCACTACTCATCATCATAATCCTTCATCACTACTCATCATCATAATCCTCATCATCATCGTCACCATCATCACCATTCGATCACCCACTCACTCACTCAATTACTCACTCATCCTCAGTAGGTTTCGGAGGCAGTGGTCCTCCGACGGTAGGACCGCCGCCACTCTCAACATCATCGTCACCATCTCCATCATAATTTCTCGACCACCCACTCAGTGGCCATCATGATCAGCATCATCATCACCCATTCATCACACACTCATCATCATCATCATCATCAGCAGCAGCAGCAGCATCAGCATCATCATCATCATTCACTCACTCATCATTTGTCCTCACTCACTCCCTGGTTTGAATATGGAGGTAGTATCAGGCGGGAGCCTCGTCTGTGAGTGAATTGTGAGGAAGTCTCAGGCGGGAGCCCCTCCCTATGGGGCCCGCACTTAATGTTTTTTATCCGGGGCGGGTCATCCGAAACGTGTAACTGTCGTCACTTTTGGGTCCCTGTGGCGTGAATATGGAGGAAGTATCAAGCGGGAGCCTCGTCTGTGAGTGAATTGCGACGAAGTCTCAGGCGGGAAACCTTTCCCTATCGGGCCCGCACCTCATGTTTTTAATCCGAGGCGGGTCATCCGAAACGTGTAACTGTCGTCACTTTTGGGCCCCTGTGGCGTGAATATGGAGGAAGTATCAAGCGGGAGCCTCGTCTGTGAGTGAATTGCGACGAAGTCTCAGGCGGGAAACCTTTCCCTATCGGGCCCGCACCTCATGTTTTTAATTTTCCGAAGGGCGGAGGGTTTGGGGGTCGGTCAGGGTTCATGGGTGGTCATCCGAAACGAGTAACTGTCGTCACTTTTGGCCTCCGGAGGGCTTGAATAAGGAGGATGTATCAGGCGGGAGCCTCGTCTGTGAGTGACTCGCGAGGAAGTCACAGGCGGGAGCCCGCCGGTCTGTCCCCGCGGGAGTCCCCGCGCGGGAGTCACCGTGCAGAAGAAGCCCTGGAGCGAAAGAAAAGTGACGCACTTGCTCCTGTTGGGCCAGGGCGGCTCGGGGAAGACGCACGTGGTGCAGAAGATCGTCTTCCCAGTGGTGGAGAATTTGCGGCCCTCGTCGGCGCAGGACAAGGGCGCCATGATGGTCGTGGCCTTCTCGAACGCGCAGGCGAAGAACATCTCCACGGAAACAGTGAAGGCCAGAACGCTGCACAACGCCTGCGCCCTGCGAGTCCAGAAGTACATCAACGCGAAGATGAGACCGGGGGGCATGCAGAAGAGGTTGCAGTGGTTGTGGGAGCGCGTCCGCGTCCTGGTCATCGAGGAGGCAAGCATGGTGGCAGCTGCTGTACAACGCGCTGGACCTTCGCGCCTGCCACGGGCGCAGTGACACGCACGACGTGCATGAGTCCACCTACAAGAGGCCGCACCGCCACTTCGGCCGCGTCCCCATCGCGTTGCACCTCGGGGATTTCCTGCAGCTGAAGCCCACCGGCAGCATCGGGCTCCTGACGGACGTGAACGAGCTCCTGGACGACGGGTCGTACAAGTACGCGGAGCCGCCGACGGTGGAGATCCAGCACGCCATCAGGGTCTTCTCTCAGATCCCCTGCGTCTTCGAGCTGAAAGGCACAAAACGCTTCGAGCCGGGGGACCCTCTGATCGCGTTCTTGGGCTGCACGCGCGAGGGGAAGCGCTTCCCACCAGAGGTCTGGTCTGCCTGGGAGAAGACGTTGGCCTCTGACAACCACGGCGTCCTGGACCCACGGCACCAGCACGAGAATTTCCGGCTCGGCTACGGCATGGGCATCTACTGGGAGACGCTGGCGAGGTGGATCAACGCGCGCGCTCGTCGCGACGCGCGGCGCCTCGGCGCCCCCCATCGTCTTCCTGCAGGCCGTAGACGAGTGCGGCACGATTCAAGGCGACCCAGACGCAGGCCGGCGCCTCCTGAACGCCCCGAACATGCACAAGACGGGGGACATCCACGGCGTCTCACCGGCACACGTCGGCATGGAGGTACGGTTCACGGCCGCGCAGGAGGAGCTGAAGAAGAAGTTGGGGCTCGCGCAGGAGCAGCGGGCAACCATCGTGTCCTTCGAGTTTCACGCAGACGACGAGCGGGACTACGAGGAGCGCGCGCCGGGCCAGCTCTTCCGCCCCCGCTACCTACCGCGGGGAATCTGGCTGCAGGTGCACGGCTTCCAGGAGTCCCCGATCTACATGGAGGTCGCCGATGTGCTGCAGCAGGGCGCCGACGGCGCTGCCGACGACGCCGAGGCCGAAGCGCGGGCGAGGAGCATGCTCATGTTCAGGCCCAGCGAGCAGGAGCTCACGCGGCAAAGCTCGGGGGCGCACACTGCGCGCCGCTCGGGGCCCCCCCGGGCGCATGCGCCCTACCTGACCTCCACGCTGTCGCAGGGCCAGACGCCGCGCAAGGGCGTCGCCATCGACTGGGCCAGGGATGAGGACGCTGGCCGCACGGGCATGTCGGACGAGATGTGGCGGCTGCACCTCTACGTCATGTTCTCCCGCGCCACGCGCATGCGGAACATGCTGATCCTGCGGCCGCCCGCGCGAGAGTTCCTGGAGCGCGGGCCGCCGGCGCCACTGCGGAAGGCGCCCCAGGAGTTCGACAAGAGAGCGGTGGACTCCAGGGCTGAGGCGGAGCAGCTCGCGGCAGAGCTGGGCTTCGTGCTGCCACCCGCCCGAGCGCCGCGGCGCGCACCTGGAGGCCCGCGGGGTTGTCCCAGAGGCTGGCTCCCGCGCCCCAGCGGCCTGCGAGGTTGTCCCAACGGCCTGGCCCGAAGGGTTGCCCCGACGGTTTCGCGATTTAGCCGTCGGCAAACGCGCGCGCGCTGGCCGACGCGGCGACGGCGCCGAGGAAAATCGAGTTGCTTGCCACGACCAGCGGGGACGGGAGGTGCACATGGAGAAGAGGCAGGAGGATGAGGAGGGAAGGGGCATGGGGGAGGGCGACGACGAGGAGGCGGTGGCGCGAGAGGAGGAGGAGGAGGAGGAGGAGGAGGAGGAGGAGGAGGAGGGGGAAGAGAAATAGAAGGAGGAAGAGAGGGCAGTGCAGAGGGCGAGAGGATAGGATGGTCGCCAGAGGGGAGGAGGAAAGGGCAAAGGGTAAGCTAAACAGGTTTTCGTGCGGGGTCCTACCGTCGGAGTAATTTGTTCAAATCTGCTTGAGGCCTGTCCAACCTCGGACAGGGACCCCAGGCATCATTGCAGGCAGGACAAGCCCCAGGCCCTGTTTGAAAACGGGGAACAGTCACTCAACATGCTGAGCAAGCTGACAGTCTTATCCTTCCTCTTACCTTCTCCTCCTCCTCCTCCTCCCTCTTTTCCGTCCTCCTTATCCCTTCTCCCCCTCTTCTTTTCTTCTCCGAAGGAGGACGAGGAGGAGCAGGAGGAGGAGGAGGGCATCGACGGAGGAGGAGGAGCAACAGGAGGAGAAGGAAAGCAGAGGAAGAGGAGGACGAGGATGAGGAAAGAGTAGGAGGAGGAGGATGAGGAGGAGGACAGAGGAGGAGGGTCTAGGTTTTGAGGATCGATGATCCTGGGCTTTCTGGGCGCACTCACAGTCAGACCCGCACCCATTCGCGCTAAGATCTCAGATCCACTCATGTCCAGGACCACCCATAGTCGATCATTCGTGTTCAGACGCACTCACACCCAGACCTTCTCACATTCAAACTCACTAGTTTGTAGCTGCTCGTGGTACCCACCCATTCCACACGTACCCAAACTCACATCCACACTCATATCGATTCTCACACTGAGACCCATTCATGTTCAGACGCACTTGCACGAAGGCGCACTCATATTCAGACTGACTCGCAATCAGGCCCTCCCATGCTTCTCCACTCAAACTCAAATCCGCCCACCTGTTATGAGTCATATCAGGTTCACCCGTGTTCCTCCGCTCAGTCCCAGTATCACTCCCATTGGGAGTCGCTCGTACCAACACAATCATGGCAAAAAGCACTAACCCACTTTGAGGAAGACGGGCCGACGAGGACGAAGCCGCCGTCGGAGTAGCGCCGTTGCTGGAATACCGTCGCATCCAGCCTGCAAGCCCAGTCGAAGATGTCTTGGTCGGACTCATTGCTGCCCTCCGTGCCCTCGGGGAAGCGCGTAGAGAGACCTCCGCGTCGAGCGAGCTGCCGCGTCGACGGGGGGGGGCACACTGAAGGCGGCGGGCGCGTGCAGCTGAACCTCAGGCAGGCCCTGAGCGCCACGGGCGGCCGCGTGTGGGACAGCTCGGTGGTCATGGCGGCCCTCATCGGCGAAGGCGCTCCATCACTCCAAGGGGGGAGGAGCCGGACACCCAGTGGCTGCGCCGAAGGAACCACAGCGACCGTCGGGGCTATTGGTATCTATCCCGCTTCTCCTGGCTTGGCTTGCCCCCTCGCTTCGTCTCCACCTCTTCCTCGTTCCGCCCTGCCCCTCCCGCTGGCGTCGCTGTCGTCGTTGCTGTCGCCGTCGAGGGCGCTCTGGCCCGTCGAGGGGGGAGTCTGGGCATCCAGCGGCCGGAGAAGAATCGAGACGGCCGCTTTGTGCTCTTTCTGGGCTTCCCGCCACACAGGTATTCAGGATGGGCAGCCGGCCCCAGGAGATCCAGAGGTCCAGGGCCCCACGTTTCAACACAGTCCAGCCGCCGCGCGCTTGGGCCCGAGGAGCGGGAGGCAGGAGGAGGCAGCATGACGCTTCTTCAAAGGCCTCTCCTCCTCCTCCTCCTCCTCCTCCTCCTCCTCCTCCTCCTCCTTCTTCTTCTTCTCCTCCTCCTCCTCCTCCTCCTCCTCCTCCTCCTCCTCCTCCTCCTCCTCCGCCTCCTCCGCCTCCTCTTCCTCAGAGCGAGGCGCGAGGCCCTCCTCCTGTTCCTCGGGGTGGGGGGGGCGGCGGCGCGAGAGCGCGAGGAGAGTCGCGCGCTTCGCGCAGCGCGAGGCGCGAAGATAGTTGGCCTATGAGCGAGCGGGAGGCCGCGCAGCCAGCCTTCCCGAGGCCCACACGCCCCGGCCGGCTCCTCGAGCTGCGAGGACGCCCACTCCCTCGCACAGTTGCCTTATAGAGCGAGTGGGAGGCCGTGCACCTATAGGGCCACTCTGCGCGCCGCCGACCCTCCCGGGGCCCGCACCCCGGCCGGCTCCTCGAGCTGCGCACTGGGCGTGGCGGCGAGGACCTCCTCCTCCGCCTCATTACTCCTCCTCCTCATCCTCCTCCTGCCGCCTCCTACGCCCTCCTCCTCCTCCTCACTCCTCCTCATGCTCATTCTCCTCTCCTGCTCCTTCCCTCTCCTCATCCTTCTCCTCCTCCTCCCTCCTCCTCCTCATCATCCTCCTCCCATCATCCTCCCCCTCCTCCTCCCGCTCCCTCCTCCTCCCCCCTCCTCCTCCTCCTCCTCCTCCTCCTCCTCCTCCTCCTCCCCCTCCCTCCTCCTGCTCCAGCGAGGACCTCCAGGTGCCGGCGGCTGGCGTGCCCCCACGGGCGGGAGGCGTGTGCGAGCTGGGAGAGGGAGCTGGGCGTGATGGGCCTGGCCTGGGCGCAGCTCCTCACGCGGCAGGGGGGGTACCTCCGCAGCAGAGGGAGGAGGAGGAGGAGGAGGAGGCGGAGGAGGAGGAGGAGGAGGAGGAGGAGGAGGAGGAGGAGAAGAAGGAAGAGGAGTAGGAGGAGGAGGAGGAGCAGCAGCAGCAGGAGCAGGAGCAGGAGCAGGAGGGGGAGGAGGAGGAGGGGAAGGCGAAGGAGGAGGAGGAGGAGGAGGAGGAAGAGGAGGACCAGTGTAAAGCCAATAGTCATCAACGATGTTGGAATTAACCCTCCCTCCAAGCTCCCTCTTCACAGGCCCCCACAACGGTTCATTTCCATTGAGGGAACTGCTTCGTTGGAAGACAAGCGTTTGAAGATCCTGAAGCATGCCAAAGAATTTTTCTCAGGATTTCAACGGCACGTATCAACCTGACTGCTGCGTCTTGACGATCCGGAATCGCGCCAGAGCGCCATTTTTGGGACTTCAACACCGCGAATCAGCATAACTGTGGCACCCGCATAATCCAGAATCTTTCCAAAACACCATTTCTGGTACGTTGATCACGGGAATCCGTGGAACCTCTTGCAAATTTTGAGGATGAATGTGCGCAGCGCTTGGGCGAGAGCCACATTTTGAAAAGGAGCCGCCCTCAATCCGTGAAACCCTTACAAATGTTGAAAACGAATGTGCGCGACTTTAAGGCGCTAAGGCGAGAGCCACATTTTGAAACCACCCGCCCTCAATCCGTGAAACTCTTTGCACATGTCTAAAGACGGATGTGCGAGGCGCTAAGGCGAAAGCCACATGTTGAAAACGACCCGCCCTAAACCCGTGAAACCCTTGCACATGTTTAAAGCGAGTGTGCGCGGCGCTAAGGCGAGAGCCACATTTTGAAAACGACCCGCCTTGAATCCGTGAAACTCGCTGCAATTGTTGAAAGCGAATGTGCGCGGCGCTAAGGCGAGAGCCACATTTTGAAAACCACCCGCCCTCAATCCGTGAAACTTTTAGCAAATGTTTAAAGCGAATGTGCGCGGCGCTAAGGCGAGAGCCACATGTTGAAAACCACGCGCCTTCCATCTGCGAAGTTGTTGCCAGCTTTGAAGCCTCAGAGCCATAAATGGTGGGGAAATCTCAAGCGAAACGCCCGGCCCGCCCTAAAAATTGG